AATTTATTTTTGACAGGTGTACGACAACCTATTACTATATAATACACACAAAATATTCACTAAATCTTATAATTGTAATAACATTTTTTATTCACATATTCTTCATTTATGCAATAAAATATTTTCCAATAAAATATATTTTCCAAATCTATTACTTAATATCTTATAAATATTAACTTTGTATGTCATATCATTTTTTTTAAATAAAGATTGATTTATAAATAAAAAGTCATACGACATCTACAAAGAGATTTAAATCTAATAAATACATGACAATAAAATCAAATAAATATATCCTTTCAACAGAGCTACGATCATTGTTGCAAATTGTACATTCTTCATACACTCTTTCATATCACTGTGATTTACAGCCTTTTTCGACCGGCGGTCTATCGATCTGTTGTAGTCGTGAAGAAAATTTTTGTCTGATTCATATGATTATAATCAAAGGATTAACCTCTCTTTCGATCCCGCATAAATCTTTACCCATGAAACAACTTGTACCATACTAAACTAAAAAAAAAAAAAAAAAAAAAAAAAAGCTGAAACAAAGCCACCATAGGAGCACTTACTACACTCAAACCCACTATAGGGGTACTTACAACCTTCAAAGAGTGTAGTTTTATTGAAATCAATAACAAAAACATTCATATGATTATAATCAAAGGATTAACCTCTCTTTCGATCCCGCATAAATCTTTACCCATGAAACAACTTGTATCATACTAAACTCAAAAAACAAAAACAAAGCTGAAACAAAGCCACCATAGGGGCACTTACTACACTCAAACTAACCCACTATAGGGGTACTTACAACCTTCAAAGTGTGTAGTTTTATTGAAATCAATAACAAAAACATATAAAAACTAGTGAAAGGGACGAAAATAGCCAAATCTCCGGAGAAATTTGGCTATCTCCGGCCTATAAAACACTTATTTTGAAGAACCCTAACGAGAAAAAATAGAGAGGAGCGAGATGGGTACTATTTCGTATGTCATATCATTTAATAGCACAATATATCATATATTATTCTTTCAAATTATTAATATCTTTTAAATAAGATAATTTTGTAAATTGTAATAGTAGTAAAAAAAATGATGAATCTATTAAATGATACATTAGTACTATACAATATTATTATTATTATTATTATTATTATTATTATTATTATTATTGTTATTATTATTATTATTATTATTATTAGGATAATAATAATAATAATAATAATAATACATAACATTATTATTACTATTATTAATTATAATTATAATATAATAATAACAATAACAACAACAACAACAACAACAATAATAATAATAATAATAATAATAATAATAATAATAATAATAATACTACTACTACTACTACTACTACTACTACTTCTTCTTCTTCTTCCCCCGTTAAATATTATTTTTAACAAAGGGGAGTTTCACGGACAACAATTAATCCAAGCTACCAACCCACGACTAAACACCCACCATCACCACCACGACCTGCCAAAACAACCACCCACACCGCTTTCACCACAACCTACCTACCCAACCCAGTCAGTTCGAACCACCAACACCCCAACATAACCCCCATCCCCATGAAACCCACCAACGAAAATCCACCAGCCCCACAAAACCCAACCACCCTCGAAAACCTACTAAACGAACACGAACCCCACCACCCCACGAAACCTACTCCCGCGAAACCCACAATCCCCACAAAACCAAACCCAGACCCATAAACCCACGCCACCTAGAGTCACCACTCACGAAATCAAACCCATACCAACAAAAACTAGGCCCAAACCTAGCCTTTAATTTTAAAAAAAGATTTAAATAACAATGATTTAAATGGGATTCAATTGAAAGTTTTGAATACCATCCAAATTAAAATGACTTCAACTCATAAAGGAAGTTAAATTGTCACTTACTCCTTCTGTCTCTTTATTTTGCCCTATTGCCATTTCAGGGTCAAATTTTGAAAATTTTGACCATAGATTACCGTTAATGTATAAAAGATAATATAATCATGAGTGGTCTTGTTAGATTCGTCTCATTGTATATTTTATTAATATCACGTTTTTATAATTTTTACGTGTATGGAAATAAAGATATAGACATCTTAATACGCATTTTGGAGATCGTGCACAGTCAAATGGGGAAAAAAAATAGGGATAGAGGGAGTACATCTTTTCCATTCTCTATAAATAAAAATACAAAAGATAATGAATCAAGGTTTTTTTTTTTTTTTTTTTTTTTTAACAAAGGAAATGAATCAAGTGACATTAGAGATTATTTGTATTAATTTTTAAAGTATTTGTACTATTTAACAAAAATGAAAGTAAGAGCAACTACAATGGTTGTCTAATTCTTTTACGTAGTAAAAGCTTGTCATGCCATATCATCTTCTCAAGCTACAATAATTCTAGCTATTTGTTGCTCCAATGGTTAACCTAGTTGTAAATTACTAATAATTTTTATCTAATAAATATTTACCAAGCTAATTAGCTCTACAAAGCTGCACCACAAATAAAAAAAACCCTAGCCGTAGCCGTCTCCTCTCTATTTTTTCTCTCTAGGGTTCTTGAGAAAAAGTGTTTCATAGGCCGAAAATAGTCAAATTTCTTCGGAAATTTGGCTTTTCCGATCCTTTCCTTTTAGTTCTTTGTGTTTTAGTTATTGAGTTCAATAAATCTACACTCTTTTTGAAAGTAGTAAGTACTCCTAAAGTGGGTTTGAGTTTTGAAAGTGCCCCTATGGTGGGCTTTGTTATAGTTTTGTTTATGTTTTTGTTTTTTGAGTTTAGTATGGTACAAGTTGTTTTATTGGTAAAGATTTGTGCGGGATCGAAAAAGAGGTTAATCCGTCGATTACAATAAGATGAATTAGACGAAAATTTTCTTCACGACTACAACAGATCAATAGACCCTCTCGTCAAAAAAGACTGTAAATTAAAGCGATATAAAATAGGGTATGAAGAATAATGTACGATTTGCAACAACGATCGTAGCTCTGCAGAAAGGAAGCTTTTATTTGATTCAATTGTCATGTATTTATTAAATTTTAATCTCTTTGTAGATGTCGTATGACTTTTTATTTATGAATAAATCTTAGCTTTATTTAAAAAAAAAAAAAAAAAAAAAAAAAAAAAAAAGCTCTACAAAGCTAATCAACAAGATGTGTAACAATGGTATAGTTACTAGCTTAAAATTTTTAATATTTGCAAGCTAGTCCATTTTCCTTAGCATTGGAGTTGCTCTAATAAATAATATATACTTCCTTCGGTTTTTTTTTTTTTAATTGCAACAGTTTGACTTTTACACTATTCACATATCTCACTTTGACTAGGTTGGTGATTTATAGGTTATGAAAAATATAGTCATGTGGGATCTTGTTATACTCGTCTCGATTTATACTTTCATAATATCCAATTTTTATGATTTTTACACTTTGGTAATTAAACATATTAACGATTGAAATAGTGCATTGGTAAGCGTGAAAAAAAGAAGTGTTGGAAGTATTAAAAAACAGATGAAATATGCAATATGCATTTTGATTTAGAACTTAAGAAGCAAATAATGAGAATAGACTAGTTAGTTGTTGGAGCCCTCTTAACTTCAGCAATTGTACTAGCCAATGATTTTTTTGGTACAGTAATTCAAGCAGAAAATTATGCAAGAAACCACATGTAAAATATTAATTTTATAAGGAAAATATTGGTTTTTCACAAAATTTTTTATTGGTTGCTGGCCGCACGGTGCGGCCAGGGTTACTCGATCGGTCAGGGGTTGTGTGGCCGGGGTTACTCGGTCAGAGGTTACTCCGACGGTCAAGGCCTCGGGGTTAACCGGTCAGGATTTACTCTGTCAAGGGTAGGGGTGACAATTCAGGTCAGCAGGTCAGGTTTGGGTTAGATTGTGGGTCGATTTTGGATTATGCTTAGAATCTATCAAAAATTGTGTAGCACTTAATATTATTTCGAAATATGAAATTTGGGTCAAATTGGGTCAAATTTGGGTTGTTCGGGTTTGGTTCTGGTCGGGTTCGGGTTTCTCTCAATAACTTCGGGTTTTATTATCGGGTCGGATCAGAAATTGCCAGACCTATTCAAGGGTTACTCGGTCAATCAGATGTTACCGGGTCAATATTTTGGTGTTTATGAGCTTGGCGCACAATATATTAAAAAAAAAAACGTTAATGAGACACAAAACACCACTTTTATAATACAAAATGGTCGATTTTGATCCTCATTTTGTTACCATTTTGTCGGCCTAAGGAAAAGCAATAATGATTATTACCTTTGTGGGCAATATAGAATCGTGTGGAATGCCTTTGAGGGGTTCAATTTTAAAATAAAAGCTATATTAAGGTTAGCATTAAAAAATGACGTGTTATTTTAATTAGAATATTTCATTTATTACGAATTATAAATTTCTTTAATTCTCATTAAATATATTTTATGATTTTTGTTACACCGTCCTTAAAAGAAGTTTCCGTATTTCATTTATAGGCGCTTTTAAATATTGTTCCCATTTTATATTTTTCTATTTCAGACACTACGAAAATACTAAAGTACCCTCAATTTTTTGTTTTTATTCACTCAACTACCTAAAATACCCTTATATTTTTCCTAAATTTTCACCCATATTTCTTGTACTTAATCTCTTTTTATGTACTTCAGCTTCCCATAATTGCTGTGTTTTTTGCCAAACGAAAACTTTATTATGTTTACAAATAATAATATTCATATATTCCTTAAATGTTTTTTTTCTAAAAACCTTCCAATTTTTTTTTTGAGGAAAAAAAAAAATCCTTCTAATTGCTTAAAATGATAAAATTTTCCACTCAACTCATATAAAGTCAATCTCTCCAATCTCCACTAACTCTTTTTCTCACACTTAACTTTCATTCATCCAACCCTATTAAACTCTTTAATATTGGTGTTCAAACCTAAAGGGAGCATTTAACAAGATAATAAAACATGTGTAGTTGTCAAGTTAAAAATTAGGCATAAAATAACGACCTCAAACTTTACTTTGTCAAACTTGTAAGTCACTTTTTCTGTTGTAGTCTCCTGCTGTCATACATACACACTGTCCCCACTCAAACTACTGTCATACTTTGATACTATATATATACACATACAACCACGCTCACTCAATTACAACTAACCAAAATCAAAGAAACTCCTACAAATTTAGTAATTTGGCACCACCAAACAGCAATGGAGTGCAAGGCGGTGAAGACAATCAATGCATATAATTTGGCCGCCGTAGTAGCCGCCGTGTTGCAGCTGGTACTGCTTCCGGTTACGGCGAATGCGGCGGTGTATAAGGTTGGGGACTCAGCTGGTTGGACCACCATTGGTAACATCGATTACAAGAAGTGGGCCGCTACCAAAGAGTTCCATCTCTCTGATGTTATTGGTACTCCTTCTATTCTGTCAATTTTTTTGAATTTCATTTGCATGTCATTTAATTTTGGGAATTGGTTGAAAGTTGTCTTAATTACCTGTGTTTATTACTTCAGTATGATTTCTAATTGGAGTTTGCATGATTTTTTTTAGTCGTAATTCTCTTGTCATTATACATTTTTTGATGCTTGGAGGTGATTGTCATAAGAAATATTTAAAACAGAAGAACTTTTAGAATCGAAAGAGTATTGTTTGTCGTATTTGATGAAAGGTAGTGCAGAGTTGAGTCATTTTTGTTGGATTTTTGCGCTGTGAAAGTGTGAATAGCGGCGTTTAATTATAGGATAATGACAAAACCCTGTAATAATTTGGGGCTGTTTTTTTTTTTTTTTTTTTTTAATAATTATTTTTTAATTTTTTTGAATATATAAGCATGCTTTTTCTACTAATCTTTGAAATTAAGCACTCGCAAGTAGGGATGTTAATTCGGGTAAATAGTTTGGGTTTGGGTTGAGTTTATCAGTTTCGGGTTATAACGGGTTGGTTTATAACAGGTTGAAATGATTAGTGGATCAGTTTGGATCGATTTTGAAAATCATTGGGTCAGTTAGGTTTGTTTATTTTTTAATTTTTTTGAATATATAAGCATGCCTTTTCTACTAATCTTTGAAATTAAGCACTCGCAAGTAGGGATGTTAATTCGGGTAAACAGTTTGGGTTTGGGTTGAGTTTATCAATTTCGGGTTATAACGGGTTGGTTTATAACAGGTTGAAATGATTAGTGGATCAGTTTGGATCGATTTTGAAAATCATCGGGTCAGTTAGGTTTTTTTTTTATTGCGGTTTCTATTCGGGTCGGGTCCTAATCGGGTCGGGTTGTAGTTGGTTCGGGTCATAATCAGTTTGGGTTGAACCGGGTCAGTTCGAAAACGGGTTTATCAATGGGTTTTGGTTCAAAATAGTTCGGGTTCTAATTGGGTCGGGTTGTAATTGGTTCAGGTCATAATCAATTTGGATTAAACCGGGTCGATTTGAAAATGGGTTTGATTCAAAATAGATCGGGTGAAATCGGGGTTTCAGCCATTATCGGTTCAGGTCATAATCGGTTTGGATTGAACTTGGTTGGTTTGAAAACGGGTTTACCCAATTTAAAGCGGGTTTTAGTCCAAATCATATTGGGGTAAATCGAGTCGGATCATAATCGAGTCGAGTTAGTCAAATAATGGGTAGGAACAGGTCATGTTATAATCAAGTTAAGTCATAAATAAGTTGGGTTTATTGAGTAGTGGGTTGAAACGGATCAGACCATAAATATATTGGGTTACGGGTAGTAAACGACTCAGTCATAACGGGTTACCGGTCGTAAACGGTTTGATATCAACGGGTTACGGGTCGTAAACAGTTCGGTCTCAACGGGTTACGGGTCGTAAATAATTCGGTCTCAACGGGTTACGGGTTGGAAACAGTTTGGTCATAACAGGTTACGGGTTATAAATGGTTCGGTCCCAATGGGTTACGGGTTGGACCGTTTAAGTTTTATCGGATTTTTGTCGGGTTTATACGGTTTTCGGTTTAAAATGGGTCGGGTTACTATCGGGTTCAGACGTAATCGGTTTGGGTTGTTTTCAGTTTCAGGTTGTAACGGTTTGGCTTGATAACTGGTCAGGGGTTAGTAACGGTTCACACAAATTCGGTTCAGTTCAGTTTCTGGCAGGAAAAATTGGGTCGGGTTGGTTTCGTTTCCAAAAAACGGGTTTTTAACGGTTCAGTTCCTTTTCGAATCAGTTCGAAATAGTCGGGTTTAACGGTTCGGGTTAGAAACTAACAGCTCTACTCGCACGTACTCTTTCACCAGATCGTTCTGTTAAAGGTACCTCCGTACCAGCATTCAGCTTGCATTATGCTATCCTTCGCTAAAATAAATAATTTCATAGATAGTTAATATGAATTAGTAATATGACAATTAACTTGGAAGGAGGAGTTCTAAATTGTTTGAAATAAAACCTAACATATTTCAATTATATCTATTGTCGAAAAACAAAATGTTGAAATATATTGTGAAATAAATTATGTTCCTCTTAAATTTCGCTAATTTTGTTTGAAATAAGATGTCACAATATGTTGTCACACGGTGTAGCCAGCCACATATGAAAGTTTGTGATGTTGAAAAGGATTAATGTACCAATACTCAACTTGTACCTATTCTTCGTTCACATGAAATTGATAATGTAAGTTGAACTAGTAAGACAATAATTAATTCCGGATCAAAGGATTGTGTCCATGTATTCGTAACCTAAAGCGCTTTGATGGTCCTTTTAGATTTGGCTCATTCTGTTTGAAAATGTTGGATGGATGACATTGACAAGTGATGTTCATGAAACAATAAGCAAGACAACATAGGCAATCTTATGGATTAGTGGGGTAGTGGGGATGTTGCTTTCTGGAAATGATGATGTTGGTGGAAAATATCAATAATGTTATTTTCAATCTTATTATACGCATGCTATAATAATTAATGGGCCATTAAGGTAGATGTTTTTATACCAGAAATGACATGAACATTATACCATAGTTCATTTTGAACCCCAAAAGAGCTAAAAGCGCAGAATAAAAATGTAATTATATTCGTTCTAAAGCAAATGTAATCATTTACGTATTTCTTTTTTATAAAATATACCATGATCAGAATGTGAACCGTATTTCATAATTGTTGTCATTGCACGCCCTCCAGGCCTCCAACTGTATAGTAGTTTTCTTTTATCCAACTTGAGTAACCCACCTTGAGCTTTTAGTTTTTTTATCCAACATGTGATCGAAACATTGTTTGTAGGATGATTAGAATGGAATACAGAAAATATTATAATGTTGGATTTTTAATTAATGGTGTTTTGATTAAAATCAGACTTGATTTCTAGAAACCATACATTGTGGTCATTCGTACATTATGTTTTAATATGATTATTAAATCATTATTGTTTCATTTGATCCAGCAATAATCATCATGGTGCATTATAAAATTGGCTGACTAGTAACTAGCAGCAGTTGTACTTTACTGAGGCCTGAGGGGGAAGAGAAAGTTAGGGAAGTTAGGAGTATAAAATTTTGCACCCAAGCGCTAGTATAGCACAAAATTAAGGACAATTTCGAATGAATTTCTATTTTTTTGTAGTCTACATTCTCTGAATGTAATCATATGTATCGAGTTTTAACCTACCTTCATTTAGCAGTAAATTCTGTGGATTTATTTCTTCTTGAACCATTCTAGCCTTATCCATTTCCTTGGCTTGCTCTCTTGCAATGATGTCGTTAAGTCAAGGCTCAACATAAGCAGCTTGCTGTACTCGTTCCTTCATAATGTATGAGCTTGATTCATAGTGCCTTGTAAACACATTTCTCTTTTTTATTTTTTCTTCACATGTTGTATGTTGTTTCAAAAGTAGAAACCTGGTAGCTCATGTGAAAGTTTATGGACTCAAACTTAGTGGTAGTGGTTGGAGGAGCTGCCTGAATCAGTCTTATGCCAAGAAAACAATTAAAAAACTAAACAGTACTTGCATTGTACTCTACCAGATTATTTGACTTAAATTATGATGTTACTCCGTATATTATAGCTGTACGTGTATGCTTTGATACTGGCTAGCTCATAGTATAAGGTTCACGGTAAAATATTAAATCCTCTTTCCAATTGTTGTGAAAGTTGGCCTGTTCTTTCCATTCAACGACTCTCCTCTTTGTTTGCAATGGCAGTTTTTCAGTACAATCCTCAATTTCACAATGTTATGCAAGTGTCTCATGCTGCATACAGGGCATGTAATGCATCGTCCCCTATTGCAACTCACACTACAGGAAATGACACAGTCACTATCACCAAGCGCGGCCACTACTTCTTCCTTTGTGGGGTCCCTGGTCATTGTCAGTCTGGGCAGAAAGTTGACATCCATGTACTCCGCAGCACCACTACTTCTTCCATGGCTCCATCTCCTGCAGTCTCAGTTGCTTCATCCCCTGCAAGCCCTGTTGCCAGTGCCGTCTCTCCTGGTCCTTCAAGTGCAGCTGCAGCTGTGACATTGTCAGGTTTACTAAAAGGCCTTGTTAGTATAACTGCAGCTGCAATGCTAGCATTTTTGCTTGGTTCCTAGTGTTTGATGTAGCAATTAGCAACAAGCACCGATAATTGTTGAACCTACTGTTTAGACAATGGGTTTTTTCTAATGTTAGTAATGGAACAAAAATGTCCTGAAAGACAAATTGTATGAGTGTTTGGTGGATACAAGTCCTTCCAGTAAATGTTAACCCTGTGTTTTTCCAAAATCTGGATGACCACGTCCTCGTATTATCATAGTCGTACATACAAATGTGATGCATGTGTTTCTCAGAGTTATATTCTTGGTGGTAAACCTCAAATAAAGCTAAAAAAAATTTACTTGTAAGATTTTGCATTAAAACCTAGAGTCGCCGCAGTTGAGTAGTCATATCATTACTTGTTTGACCTAAGTTTTACAAAGTTTTCGAGTATTTTAATCCTTTACATGGTGTACCATCTACAAGGTTCAAAGAAAACGAGTTCTTAAGGCGCATATCACCACGGCTAATTGTAGTTTATCTTCTGTAATACGTTTTAGTTTGTTTGTTTAAGCTCATGTAAAAAAAAAAATATTAAAAAAATAAAAAAATAAAAAAATAAAAAATAAAAAAATAAAAAACAGACTTGAGCTCTATTGAGCTTAGTAGTTTTGCGTTTCATATTTGTTTGCTTAGATTTTGGCTCCTTTGAGCTTGGCTCAAACAGCTTGTTTAATTACAATGGGTTAAAGTTCAATCAAAAGCTTAAATGTGAATGAGACCAAATTGAGCTATATTAATCAACAATTTTTGCAACTTTTTAACTCCAATCCATTTTTAAATTGATTGAACTAAACTAACTCAATGGTATTCATCAAGTCATTGAGATGCCTAAATGCCAAGATGTAATGGGATTAGAAGTAATGTCTTACCACAAGACTGGACGTTGAACCTGCTAATTGTAAGGATTAAAAATAAATAAATAAATCTAATATATATTATATATTATATTATATAAATAAAGTAGGCATTTTTCAAGAGCATTCGGAGCTCCACATAAGTAATCTAATTATTTCGACCAATGATAAAAGAGATTTATATTTTATTTTTGAATTAAATAATTTTATTGCCACCTAGGTAAAAGTAACGAATTAGATTTGATATATCTAAAATTTTAGTGCCACGTAGATTAAAAACCAAGAATAAAATTATTTTATAAATTAATGGTAAAAAAAATGTAGGAAAAGAGAAATTTATTAAATCATTACTACAAGTATAACAAATCCAAAAAAAAATATATATATAAAAAGATAAATCTCAAAAAGATATTAATTAATTAAAATCATATCAGAAATAATACTCCCTCCGTTAAATATTATCTGCAACTAAGTACAGTTTACGGTTGCCAATGCAAATTTTAAAGGGCAAAGATTAGAGAAAGTTAAGTAACTTGTGGCATGTAATTAAGGTGGAGAGAGAATGTAATCAAGTGGCAAAGATCAGCCAACACCGCCTTCATTAACACCACCGCCACCTTCACCAACACCACTACCAACCCCACGAAACCACTACCACCACCAGCCCTAACCACCTCCAACCCAGACCACCCCACCACCTAGACCCACCTCCAACCCAGACCACCCCACCACCCAGACCCACCTCTAACCCAGACCACCCCACCACCCAGACCCACCTCCAACCCAGACCACCCAACCACCCAAACCCACCTCTAACCCAGACCACCCCACCACCTAGACCCACCTCTAACCCAGACCACCCCACCACCCACGCCACCAAGACCCACCTCTAACCCAGACCATCCCACCACACACGCCACCAAGACCCAACCCTAACTCAGACCACCCCCACGAAACCACCACCACTACGACCCCCACGAAACCACCACCACTACCACCCCCACGAAAATCGAAATCTTGACAATAAAAACCCAGAAAATTCGAAATCAAAACCCAGAAATTCGAAATCAAAACCTTGAAAATCAAAAACCCAGAAAATTGAAATCAAAACCCATAATATTGAAATCAAAACTCAGAAAATCGACGAAGAGGAAAGAGGAAGACGAAATCAAAACTCAGAAAATGAAATCAAAACTCAGAAAACCCAGATCTGTTGTTTAAAGTCCCGATTTGGAGAGTGAAGGACGAAGAGGAGAGAGGAAGACGAAGAGGATGATGAATTAGAGAAGATGAAGGACGAAGAGGAGAGAGGAAGACGAAGAGGATGATGAGGAGAGAGGAACTGGAGAAGATGAAGGACGAAGAGGAAAGAGGAATTGTTATGAAGGATGAATAGGAGAAGATGAAGAGACGAAGAGGATGATGGATGGATGAACATGAAGGTTGTTGGTGGTTGGGATTGGGAGTGAATGGAGGGATTAGTTAAATTAGGGAAATCTGATTAGTTTTAGGTTAATGTGGTTAAATTAAGTTAAGGGCAAAATTAAGAAAATCAGAATTCTTAAGTAAGGGTAAAAATGTCATTTTAAGGGTTTTTGTTTACTAAAAATGGAAAGAAAACCGATAGTTGCACATAACTCTAATCTAACAAAAATGGCAAAATTTGCAGATAATTTTTAACGGAGGGAGTATTAGATTTAAATGATAAACGACTACAATAAAGTTTGATACCTATCATTATAAGATAAATTTTGATAGTTTTTATGATAATAAAGTAAAATTTATTCCTTAATTATAATTAAATTAAAATTTGTGATACGTACCAGTATAAATTGACACATCATATGACACCAACAAAACTTAGTGTCAAAATACAAAACCAAATGTTAGCTTAATTTTGTGTTAGTAATTTTGTGTCAGTTTTAGGTCATCAATGGCTGGGTAATTCTTAGCTTAGTTTTTAAATTCATGTTTAAATTTGTAATTGTAACTATTGCTTAAATTGTGTTTATTTTGGATACTTAACAATTATATATTTATGTTTTGTTTACTGAATTTTGTATATGCAGATCTAATTTAATTAAAGAATTAAATTCGAGCAAAAATGATTGAAAAATCAAAATACGAGTTTCTCGCCTGTTTGACATACTTACCTTTTGCAAACAAGATAGCTTAATAAGTTTGGATATGGTCCTTGATTAGGGGATTTTTATCCACCAATCAGCATCCGACACGTGGACCAGCCAGGTTTCGCCACGTGTCCTTCACGTAGGCCAATAGGAGCCTGCCACGTGTCATCAAGAGATTCGTCCTCCTTGGACTAATTGCGACGCGACACGTGTCCATTCATGCCATATGGGTAAATCAGCCGACAAGGCCCAATCTTTGTGGGAAGCCTAGTCAGCCTTAGGTTTAACCTAAACCTAGCACTGGCACGCATCCCAAGGCATATAAATATGCCCATTAATCCTCATTAAGGGGGATGACACACATTTAACACTCTCACCTAGAGAGACCAAATTACTTTTATTTCCGCATTAATTACTCCTTAATCAAGTACTAACTTGACCGTCGGAGGCGGATCTCCAATCATCCGGAGCATCCGTTTGTTTTGCAGGTACAGGCGTCCGGTTCCAGTCTTGGAATTGTAACTCTCCCGTAGGACACAAAAAACCCCGAAACATTTTGGCACCGTCTGTGGGGAGAGTACTTCTGAGATGGCATCCACGTCTGTACCGACTCCTGAAGAGAGGCGTCCCCTGGACGACCCTCAAGTTCAGTCGGACCACGACACTGAAGAAGAGTTGGAAGTTGAAGCCCATACAGCTTCAGACGGGACCCTAAGGGCCCGGCGCACCCGTCATACCGAAAGGAGAGAACGGGAAGATATTCAAACTGGACTCAGTAATCCAGTCGGCGCACCGCCTGTTCAGCAGCAGCCGGCTGATGGGTCTGCTCCCATTACAAGAAACGAACTCATGACCTTCATGAGGGGCTTCAAGGGAGAGATTCAAGAGTTGCTCAACAAGAAGCCGCCTGCTCTGGCCAAGGAGCAGTCGGCTAAGAAACCTTCCTCTTCCGGGAGGAGGAAGCCTGTTCAGGGGCGAGAGGCGACCCCTCATCCTAATTCTAGGAAGTGGGAGCCGCCTGTCCTTGATTTCACAAAGTACCGCTTTCCTACCCCAGGAAAGAGGAAACCTGTTCGTCATATTCAGGCGGACGGTTCGAAGAAAACATACACAGATGCTCGGCTATTGCTAGAGCAGAAAAAGAATGACCGATTGTCAGAGTCGGCCTCTACTTCAGACTTCTAAGACAGTCTACGCAATACCTCGATGAGGTATACTCAGTCGCATCATGAGAGTCAGTCAGGTGGTACCTCCCGTCAGTCCGGCTTTCATAGTGAACAGGCGGTACCAAACTTACCATTTGTACCGCAGCAACAATATTTTTTGCAGCCACCTCTATTTGGAGGGCATGCGGCAAAGAATGTCCAACCTATGGACTGGCAGCTACGGTTGCTCAGACTTGGGGAACAGCCGTCGGCCTTCTCCAAGGAAATTACTGAAGCCGCTCAGCCGGCCAAAGTGAAAAATGTGTTAGTAGGCGCCTATGACGGCACTACTAACCCAGAAGATCATTTAATGGCATTCACTAACCTGATGTACCTTCAAGGGTTGGATGATCCCACCTGGTGCAAGTGTTTTCCAGCGACTCTCAAAGGAATCGCCCAACAATGGTTCGGCAACCTGCCGACTGGTTGTGTAAATAACTTCAGGACGCTTGCTTACTTATTTACCTCCAACTTTGCATGAACATACCTGCGAAGAAGACGACCCTAGATTTAGGGACGATTCAGCAGGGCGAGAAGGAGGGGCTTCGTTGTTATATCAGGCGGTTTAACCTGATGAGAATACAGATTCAAGGGTTACCGGATGAGGTAGCCTATACTGACTTTTTCAGAGGCCTCAAGGACGGGTCGACCTTCAAATTTGATTAAGTTCGAAAGAGGGTGGCGACTCTTCAAGAAGCCTTGATTGAAGCAGAAGCCTATATACAGGCGACTGATCTTTGCAGTACGGGAAAACAGTCGGACGGGAAAAGGTTCGACAAAAGAGAAGGACGACAGAAACAGTCGTCCAACAAAGATGAGAAGAAGAGAAAAGAGGTTTGGGCGGCTGACTCCTCTAAACAGCCGGCCCAGAAGAAGAAGAAAGAATTCAAACCATACTCCCCAAAGTATGCGTTTAACAAGGATAGCCAAGCTATCCTAAAAGAAATCAAGGGACGGATTTCAATTGAGAAGCCGGCCCCCATGAAGGGTTCTGCGAGCAATCGGAACCAAGAAAAATTATGTGATTATCATGAAGATGTTGGTCATCAAACTAACGAATGCATCAGTCTCATGCGGTATCTGGACCGCCTGGCTGAGCAAGGCGATCTTGACTCTT